GAAAAGAACGCATAATTTTTATATGTCGATTGACTGGACTGTTTACTTACAACTGGCGATCACTCAAAACTTGTTGTGGGGATCGATCAAGAGGTAAGAAATGGAAACTTGTTGAAGTACATTGTGCTAAGAATTCCATACTCTACCAAAAGTATAATATTAGATAAAACTAATGATAATGACAACATACACAGGACGATATAACTAGTTGAGTCTCAAGGAATCGAGATTGTCAATGAGCATTCCATAGATTGACAAATCAAGAACTTGAAAACTAGATGACTCTGAGAAAAAGACCACTAAACTCATTTGAAATCGGATAGAAAATGTGATCAAAGTTTATTCATAGCTCGAGCAAGACCTTCAATGAATCAACAGTACAAAGATTTGTTCCACTTCATTTTCTGTTTAAAAATAGTAGTAATACTTTGTAATCTGAGAATTTCACCAATCTTTGTATCGCGCGCACTTGTCGATGCGTGTACGTGATTGTCAGTCACATAAACAACAACTTATTTTAAAATTACGGTATGTTTAATTCTAAGCAAGTTTCTTATTGCGCCCACGATACAGGATAGCGGATAAAGAATACGACATTATTTGTGTGATGAGATAGAATGAGGTGATAAACGACAACAAAGTATGATCATTGATATTTCTGTAAACAATTGAGGTCAACAAAATTATGTTTGTATAATTAAACACTCCGATAACTTACATTGAGATTAAAAATAGTAAATTCTACTTTGAGAATTTTATAGGATTTGGCAAAAATGGTAGAACTTGTTGTTATGTTATATAGAATCTGATAAATCTAACCGAATTGTCAATATTTCCAATCTTATCCCTAATGCATAGAACTTGTGAGTTGGTGGTGTTTGCATGAACTTATCATTTTATTGTATTTGGTGACTGCCTGATTTCGAATTCCAAATACAACATGTTCATTTGTGCTTTCTTCGTTAAGCTCTGGTCTCAATTGAGTTATTTCAATGATTCCCAGTTAGAATAACAATTCAACAAATTCTTATTATCGTCTAGATGACGTCGAGTAGCGATTGACTATGATCACGTCTACAATAATATTACGTGCCAGATATCGTGTTGGGTCTCGTTCACAGATCATTAAGCGAACGTTTATCCACGATTTGTCACCGAAGTTCTTTTACGTCGAATGGTATCAGGAGAAACGTGCTGTTTTTGTTGCTTGAGTTAGCGTGCCACACCAGAGTGAATAATATCCGGAATCTGAAAATTGCGTTCGTAGTTGTCTAGACAAGAAAACTATGCAGACGTAGTACGGAAACACATTGAGTCAAGAAACTCTCGTTCATACCTCGTGAACCTGTGAATTCATTATTTGATTGTACTGCTAGACTTGACTTGGATCATGCATTTTGGTTGTAAATCGAAGCACTTTTTCAGAACTTCAAACACTTTGTGTTATAAAGAATCTCATTTGGTGGATTTTTACTTCAGTTATCCGGAAATGATAGAAAAACACTTAATTTTTGGAGCGTTCGGTAATATTCCTATATATCTTATCACATTGCTATTTATTGTAATTTAGATTGATTGTTCTAGGAACAATTGTTGGTTGATTAACTGTGTGGTAATATTTGTTTTGGTAAATTTGTACATTTGTATATATGATGAACGTTGGAAACGTTATTACCCAATCACTTCGTTCTGATTTGGATTGAGTCGCGCGTGAATACATTTATTCCACGGACAGTTGTTCTGCACACAAACTTAGTTCGGATTTTGATAATCAGTTTGTTATCACTACCAGGAATTTTTTTAAACAGTGTTGCTAAACCGGATGAGGGACACAGTAGACTCTGACCTTCGAGATCAACAGGCTGGACTCCGTATGGACCGGTAATACACAGACCAAATTGTGGCACTACGGATCATCGTTGAACAGTCAATTGAATGGAACTCATCTCTTTACATCACCTTCCTTGACTTTGAGAAGGCATTTGACAGTGTGGACAGGAGAGCATCATGGAAACATCTTCGACACTATGGAGTTCCTGAGATTGTCAACATCATCCGGAACTTATACGACGGCCTACAGTGCAAAGTCGTGCATGACGGACAGCTGACAGACGAATTTCCAGTAAGGACTGGAGTAAAACAATGCTGTCTACTCTCCCTACTCCTCTTCCTTCTGGTGATTGACTGGATTATGAAGACTTCGACATCTGATGGGAAGAACGGAATACAAAGGACACCGCAGAAATAGTTAGACGATTTGGACTTCGCTAATAACCTGCCCCTTCTGTCTCATATACACAAACAAATACAGATTCTGTTATTACATGTACGCCATGCCCTGAAACATTTTTTGAATCACATAATGTTGAGAGTGGACACATACCATACCTGCTACCGGATGACTCAGTCTGTGATGTAATAATGAGTTCTATATCATGATCTAAAAGGTCAGTTTGACTACTTTAATTTAGACGTTTCTCTTCGTAGCTAAGGATATCTAGTATTAGTCCCATACCTGAACATTTCTAAGGCCTTCCACACTGTCAACTACCAACTTCTGACAGGTTAACTCACATCTCATGGGGTTCAAAACCCGTTGATATGTTGAGATAATTCCTACCTCAGCAAATGACATCAAACAGTTAAAATAACTCTTCATTGTCGGAATTTGTCCATGTTGGAAGCGATGTAATATAAGCCAGTATCTTAGGCCATTTGGTATTGTTAGTTTTTATCCTTAATGCGTGCATTAAGCTGGGTGGCATATTTTTATTTCATGGAGCCCCAGTCACCACTGGGCACCGTTTTAGGAACCAGTTACTTTCAAGTAAAATTTCAACTTGTTCAGATTAGAATTTTTATCCCTGAACATGCTGTGGAAAGTTGTCCCGCAAAACCTAAAATTCAGCTTACTTATAACTTCGTCAATCAGTGTATGGTCACATCAAACGTGAAAGACTTGTGAACTCCCGATCTCACTAAATGTTTTTGATAATAATTATTTATAATGTGATGATAGTTTTACTTCACGCTCAACTGTGACTTTCATTTCCAATTTGAATTGACTTTGATATGACAATGTTCATAGGTTGAAAATTCCATCAGGAATAGTGAATGATCCATGAAACTTGGCAAAACATATCGGAAATACGTGTTGCAGATCCGCATTTTAAACTGTATTTATAGTCCATAGTACATTTCTCAAATACATCAAAATAGAGCGTTTGTACGATAAAGCGAATCGGAATTAAAAAACGTACAGCCTACAGCGAAGTTGAGAACGGCAAACGAAGAAGTCATTTCTGACGTACTAATTCTGTACCTCCTAGAAGAAGCTAGCAATCTGACGAGGATGATGACGACAAACCAGGACGGTGGATGTAGTATGCGTTGCGTATGACTATGCCATATTTATTCATCAACCGCAATTTCATATTCATCATGAATCAATATTCACTTCGTTGACTCATTTTTCCTATCGTCTAGTTACTGTTTTGTATATTATTTGTATCTCACCTCTTCCCTGTTTAATAGGCTGCATTGTTTATTTTGTATACCAGCAGTGTTAATTACCGTTTTAGAAACAGGTGAAATTTATCAAGCTCAATAGCTTACTTGTTCTGACTTTAGCTGTGCTGAGACGCTGTGCTCGACAGTCTGGAGAATAGTTTAGAACTACACCTGTAAGAAATTACTTCCTACACAAATGACGTGAGGAAGAAGAAAGTTACTTATTGTGAGATATTTTAGGAGAACCGAAAATATTGAGATCATCTGGACAAACGTCAGAACTTTTAAAATCACTGATCGTTCCATGAAATAAGGCTGTGTAACAACTTAAACCGAAGGAAAATTATCTGTATTTGAAAATACCACGAGGAGTGGTAGTCGCTGTTTAGCCTGATGAAAGTTTATCCAAAGGAATTTGCAGACAGTCGTTGTTCAAATTAGGTTCACATGACACTTCAGGATAGTGAACTTGACTAAGAATATTTTCAGCTTCAAGTTGGTGTGTATTTGCTTTAACAACCGCGAATTCAATGTAAAGACTGAATCCCTATAACTTCATGGCACTCAACACAAGCAGCTATGGAGTGCGTAATCGAAGTAAAAGAACGTTCTTCGAAAGCTAGTGCATGCAAGTCTACGTTGTGCCATTCTAATAACAAAGCTCTGGGTAAATTATTGACCGTATACTGCCTGTGTCAACAATGAAATTGTGGAATGAACCAAAAGAGGTATCAAATTGCTCTTACAAGTGGAAAATGCTTTTCAAACTCGTGGATAAACATGAAATACAATCATCAGAAGATTCAATCTTATTAGGATTTATTAACGAAATATAATATCACTATCAGCGAATTGAACAAAAGTCCAACATACTAACACAGTGCAGTGTTGTAATTTCTTGAAAATCTTATCAGTTTATATTGAATGAAAGCAATCATATAAATAATACAAATTATATTTTATAATCATGTACGTGAAAAAAACGTACAACTTGTATGTAGTTCAATGAAATAAATCTCCGAATAATTGAAATGTTTAACAACATAAATAAAGTGTTTTTTCTAAACTATAAAATGAAAACAACAAAGTCAGCATCTTGAATACGAGCGATAATACTTTTGTGGTAGTCAAGGCATTTATTTCTCCCTCCTGTATAACCATAGATATATGGCACAGCCGCAGCACACAACCAAGAACATGATGAATAAAATTAAGATGATGTACATGAGATGAACTGACTTCTTTTGTTCATTGTCTTTTATCACTTCTATCGTCACATTTCGAAACGGCTAAACAGTTGAAAAATTACGAGCTATCAATTACTAAACAAATGAGATTCAGGTGTTTGTGTAGTTTTCTCCGATTCATTCCTCAAGTCAGATTCACTTGTACTTGGAGTTGCTGTTGCTAGTTCGACAACTATTGGTGTGATCAAAACGTTGCCATTCGAGCTATTCTGATGAATGATACAGTGGAAATATTACGAACTATCAATTACTTACCAAACGAGATTCAGGTGTTTGTGTAGTTTTCTCCGATTCATTCCTCAAGTCAGATTCACTTGTACTTGGAGTTGCTGTTGCTAGTTCGACAACTATTGGTGTGATCAAAACGTTGCCATTCGAGCTATTCTGATGAATGATACAGTGGAAATATTACGAACTATCAATTACTTACCAAACGAGATTCAGGTGTTTGTGTAGTTTTCTCCGATTCATTCCTCAAGTCAGATACGCTTACGGTTGTAGATGTTGTGGCTTGTTCGACAACTGTTGGTGTGATCAAAACGTTGCCATTCGAGCTATTCTGATGAATGATACAGTGGAAATATTACGAACTATCAATTACTTACCAAACGAGATTCAGGTGTTTGTGTAGTTTTCTCCGATTCATTCCTCAAGTCAGATTCACTTGTACTTGGAGTTGCTGTTGCTAGTTCGACAACTATTGGTGTGATCAAAACGTTGCCATTCGAGCTATTCTGATGAATGATACAGTGGAAATATTACGAACTATCAATTACTTACCAAACGAGATTCAGGTGTTTGTGTAGTTTTCTCCGATTCATTCCTCAAGTCAGATTCACTTGTACTTGGAGTTGCTGTTGCTAGTTCGACAACTATTGGTGTGATCAAAACGTTGCCATTCGAGCTATTCTGATGAATGATACAGTGGAAATATTACGAACTATCAATTACTTACCAAACGAGATTCAGGTGTTTGTGTAGTTTTCTCCGATTCATTCCTCAAATCAGATTCGCTTACGGTTGTAGATGTTGTGGCTTGTTCGACAACTATTGGTGTGATCAAAACGTTGCCATTCGAGCTATTCTGATGAATGATACAGTGGAAATATTACGAACTATCAATTACTTACCAAACGAGATTCAGGTGTTTGTGTAGTTTTCTCCGATTCATTCCTCAAGTCAGATTCACTTGTACTTGGAGTTGCTGTTGCTAGTTCGACAACTATTGGTGTGATCAAAACGTTGCCATTCGAGCTATTCTGATGAATGATACAGTGGAAATATTACGAACTATCAATTACTTACCAAACGAGATTCAGGTGTTTGTGTAGTTTTCTCCGATTCATTCCTCAAGTCAGATTCACTTGTACTTGGAGTTGCTGTTGCTAGTTCGACAACTATTGGTGTGATCAAAACGTTGCCATTCGAGCTATTCTGATGAATGATACAGTGGAAATATTACGAACTATCAATTACTTACCAAACGAGATTCAGGTGTTTGTGTAGTTTTCTCCGATTCATTCCTCAAGTCAGATTCACTTGTACTTGGAGTTGCTGTTGCTAGTTCGACAACTATTGGTGTGATCAAAACGTTGCCATTCGAGCTATTCTGATGAATGATACAGTGGAAATATTACGAACTATCAATTACTTACCAAACGAGATTCAGGTGTTTGTGTAGTTTTCTCCGATTCATTCCTCAAGTCAGATTCGCTTACGGTTGTAGATGTTGTGGCTTGTTCGACAACTGTTGGTGTGATCAAAACGTTGCCATTCGAGCTATTCTGATGAATGATACAGTGGAAATATTACGAACTATCAATTACTTACCAAACGAGATTCAGGTGTTTGTGTAGTTTTCTCCGATTCATTCCTCAAGTCAGATTCACTTGTACTTGGAGTTGCTTTTGCTAGTTCGACAACTATTGGTGTGATCAAAACGTTGCCATTCGAGCTATTCTGATGAATGATACAGTGGAAATATTACGAACTATCAATTACTTACCAAACGAGATTCAGGTGTTTGTGTAGTTTTCTCCGATTCATTCCTCAAGTCAGATTCACTTGTACTTGGAGTTGCTGTTGCTAGTTCGACAACTATTGGTGTGATCAAAACGTTGCCATTCGAGCTATTCTGATGAATGATACAGTGGAAATATTACGAACTATCAATTACTTACCAAACGAGATTCAGGTGTTTGTGTAGTTTTCTCCGATTCATTCCTCAAGTCAGATTCACTTGTACTTGGAGTTGCTGTTGCTAGTTCGACAACTATTGGTGTGATCAAAACGTTGCCATTCGAGCTATTCTGATGAATGATACAGTGGAAATATTACGAACTATCAATTACTTACCAAACGAGATTCAGGTGTTTGTGTAGTTTTCTCCGATTCATTCCTCAAGTCAGATTCACTTGTACTTGGAGTTGCTTTTGCTAGTTCGACAACTATTGGTGTGATCAAAACGTTGCCATTCGAGCTATTCTGATGAATGATACAGTGGAAATATTACGAACTATCAATTACTTACCAAACGAGATTCAGGTGTTTGTGTAGTTTTCTCCGATTCATTCCTCAAGTCAGATTCACTTGTACTTGGAGTTGCTGTTGCTAGTTCGACAACTATTGGTGTGATCAAAACGTTGCCATTCGAGCTATTCTGATGAATGATACAGTGGAAATATTACGAACTATCAATTACTTACCAAACGAGATTCAGGTGTTTGTGTAGTTTTCTCCGATTCATTCCTCAAGTCAGATTCACTTGTACTTGGAGTTGCTGTTGCTAGTTCGACAACTATTGGTGTGATCAAAACGTTGCCATTCGAGCTATTCTGATGAATGATACAGTGGAAATATTACGAACTATCAATTACTTACCAAACGAGATTCAGGTGTTTGTGTAGTTTTCTCCGATTCATTCCTCAAATCAGATTCGCTTACGGTTGTAGATGTTGTGGCTTGTTCGACAACTGTTGGTGTGATCAAAACGTTGCCATTCGAGCTATTCTGATGAATGATACAGTGGAAATATTACGAACTATCAATTACTTACCAAACGAGATTCAGGTGTTTGTGTAGTTTTCTCCGATTCATTCCTTAAGTCAGATTCACTTGTACTTGGAGTTGCTGTTGCTAGTTCGACAACTATTGGTGTGATCAAAACGTTGCCATTCGAGCTATTCTGATGAATGATACAGTGGAAATATTACGAACTATCAATTACTTACCAAACGAGATTCAGGTGTTTGTGTAGTTTTCTCCGATTCATTCCTCAAGTCAGATTCACTTGTACTTGGAGTTGCTTTTGCTAGTTCGACAACTATTGGTGTGATCAAAACGTTGCCATTCGAGCTATTCTGATGAATGATACAGTGGAAATATTACGAACTATCAATTACTTACCAAACGAGATTCAGGTGTTTGTGTAGTTTTCTCCGATTCATTCCTCAAGTCAGATTCACTTGTACTTGGAGTTGCTGTTGCTAGTTCGACAACTATTGGTGTGATCAAAACGTTGCCATTCGAGCTATTCTGATGAATGATACAGTGGAAATATTACGAACTATCAATTACTTACCAAACGAGATTCAGGTGTTTGTGTAGTTTTCTCCGATTCATTCCTCAAATCAGATTCGCTTACGGTTGTAGATGTTGTGGCTTGTTCGACAACTGTTGGTGTGATCAAAACGTTGCCATTCGAGCTATTCTGATGAATGATACAGTGGAAATATTACGAACTATCAATTACTTACCAAACGAGATTCAGGTGTTTGTGTAGTTTTCTCCGATTCATTCCTTAAGTCAGATTCACTTGTACTTGGAGTTGCTGTTGCTAGTTCGACAACTATTGGTGTGATCAAAACGTTGCCATTCGAGCTATTCTGATGAATGATACAGTGGAAATATTACGAACTATCAATTACTTACCAAACGAGATTCAGGTGTTTGTGTAGTTTTCTCCGATTCATTCCTCAAGTCAGATTCACTTGTACTTGGAGTTGCTTTTGCTAGTTCGACAACTATTGGTGTGATCAAAACGTTGCCATTCGAGCTATTCTGATGAATGATACAGTGGAAATATTACGAACTATCAATTACTTACCAAACGAGATTCAGGTGTTTGTGTAGTTTTCTCCGATTCATTCCTCAAGTCAGATTCACTTGTACTTGGAGTTGCTGTTGCTAGTTCGACAACTATTGGTGTGATCAAAACGTTGCCATTCGAACTATTCTGATGAGCGATAAAGTGGAAATATTATTTCATATCAAATATTATTCAAGTAGCTCACCATTCATTATACTCTATTGTCAGTTATGACAACAGAAATGTTTTCAACAAGTAGCTACACATTATTCTACAACCATTTTGACGACCTTTATTTTTTGCGATGAAATTTGTTTCCTGGATGTGAAATCCTATCACTATCTAAATATTAATCAACAAGATTATAACTGATGGCTTCATTGAAGCGATCCATACAAGATACATATATTTTTTATTATAGAATCATAAATACTTTTTCTGAACATCAACAACGAATGTTGACGAGGTTTTACTAATTTCCTGAACATGGTACAGGAGGTCTAACAAATTACGTTTCATCAGTCAAAATGATTTCATCGACATTTTTTAACAAGTCACATAGACATTGGGAATCACTACACATTCTTAAAGCTGGAAAACCAACATGTCCTCTTATAAAGTTTGTGTTCGACCACTCCTTGAATACTGCGCGTTTATTCATAGTAGTGCGTGCATTAGGAAAACATGGGGCTAGAATCAGTACAGAGACGATATACACTTAGTACTCTCGGAACTGAATGTGCCTTGACATATAATTCTAGGTATAATAAACTCGAGTTGAGCCCTCTGTGGAAGAAGAGACTCAAACTAAATCTTATCTCCTTCTTCAAAACACTTAACAAACTATTCTTCATATCAAACCAGGTGGTCCAATAGACTGAAATTTCACAATACGACATTCGAAACTCGTTGTCTTTAGCGAAACAAGCATATTTCAGATCTCTCTATTTGAATTTATTTATCTGTAAATTTTCTAGGCTCTGGAATAATATACCAGAAATTTTCCACACAATAAAAGCACTCCCATTAGTTGTTCGATGCATTGATGCATACTACTCCTCTGAAAATGCATTAAATGCTCTAGCTTCTGTAAGCGTATCTTACTCCACAAGTGAGATTATAGGAACTTTAAATGTTTGACCACTTACTTGCTGTCACTTTACATTAACACTGTCACTAGGAACCTTAACTGGTTTGAATAATATTTAACATGAACAGTGTAACCTGACCGGTATATTTTGGCAATCATTGTTTTGTTGATCCGTGCTCTTTGCTTTAATCTTACTTCCTCTAGTTGGAGATATTTATCAATAACTAATTAAAAGTTCCCTGATGTTGCACTGGCTTGTCGTGATATATGCCTTATATAAACTACTGATCCAGCAAACATAAAACAATCTTTTATCTCATGTTTGTTCTCTACATTAAATGTTGCTTTTGTTATCAATCTGATCATGCCTGTCAACTGGTGTGAATTCTGTAAGTATGGTTTTCAAAATATATCATTATTATTGTGTTTCATGGACATACTGTTGAACAACCTTTACATTCATTTTTTAATGTCTACATCGAAACAGAGCATTGTACTCATGTCTGATTAAATGTCGTCAACGTATATAATGGCTTGATTTATGCAGAGGGAAAAATACAAATCAACTCATATTCTTAGCAACAAAGTGTTCTTCCGAGTAAATAGACTCACAATGTGCAATGTGGTAATATTAAAAACAACCCATGAAGTCTACAAATCACTTACTTTAATTCGGCAACCATTTACTTTGAAGTCATGAATATCCTCATCACTGCTAGTAGTGCACATATTAGCTTTTTCACACCAAAAGCAAGTTGTATCCGATAATGCTGAGTCTTGACATGACTTATTTGAATTGCGTTTTCGACACTCTTTAGTGAAATGAATAAAGTGATTGCATTTCAAGTTATCAAATAAAAGATAAGTGAATAAGGAAACATGTAACTATTAACCAATGATGAGGAATTTGTCATCAACACACTTTAAATATCATTCACATGTTGGAATTGTATAAAACTACGTTGAATGTCGAACGGTGAGTTTTGACAGGTGGTCTGGATGATTTCCATGATTGTTACATTCCGAAATGTATATGCTATTCTGATACTGAGTTTGATGCTTGATGAGTTTCTTTCCGTGATGTGAATTTTATGACTGAAATACGACTTGCATACCGCTTCTACATATGCAAAGTGGAGTATGACGTTGTGAACTGAACACTTGGAAATCGGTGCAAGAAAGTCAGCTAGCTATTCTCAGGCACAAATTCATTTTCAATTATGTTAATTCACTCGATCAACAATGGAAGTGTGACATTGTTTTTCAATTCATGTTTAACGTTGTCTTTGAAATGATTTTAGTCGACCTACAGTGATGGTAGGTTTCAATCTTTGCGGCCACATTCTAGTCTGTGTGCTGTCAGCTAGCACGTCAGGCCAGTTTGACCATGAAAATTCATTGATGGTAAATAATATTTTATTCAACCAATACTGAAGTCGATCTGAACAAAAGTTTACGAAATAATTCTCTCAGTCGTCGAAATGTTATTTCAGTAGTCTAACACATGATGAACTGAAAAGTGTTAGCGGTTACTCACTGTACATATTCATGACAAAGGAAACACTTTCGTACTGTGAAAGTCGTCAGTACTTTTGATACTGTGCAAATATCTACTGACTATGATAAATTGAAATCTGAACACGCGAGTTATTTACAACTTCAATTTATCGGATAAATAGGATAAGGAAGAGCCATTGGGAATTAAGCTACTTTGAAAAAGGTTCAAGGTAGTTACGATTCCATGAAGTGTTTCTGAGATTTCAATACCTCGGAAAAATTCGTTGTCGCATGTACCATATAAAATAACAATGAACACTTCCATGTCAATGCACAATCAACCAACTAACGAATATCATCTCATCCATCTTTTCGTGACATTTTGTTTAAGTAAATTTCATCAAATGGAGAACTTCTACACTAGTTCAAAATGTGTTCTTAACCATTTTAAATATTCAACAGTGAATCAAAGTGTAATGTGCCGTCATTCCAGAGTGATAGTTGGCTATCATTTAATAACTGACTGAAATCACACACGAAATTTTCAATTTTATGAAACAGAAGTATTGCATTGAAGTATAACTTTGAGTGGTTATTATTATAAAAACAGTCAACTCCGATATAATAAGGTTTAACATACCATTGGAAACTTCGTACTCCACTAACGTTCCACTTTTGATCCATTTTGCATCAACACGTACATGAAATATATTCCCAACTAGTGTTATAAAATGTATAGAAGAATACACATGAAATTTTGATCTGCATTTTAATTGTAACAAGATGTTTGCTCCAATAGAGAGCGAACAAAATTAGAAACTGTTCAATTTCTGATCTACGTTACAAGGGTGCCAGTGCAAGAACTTTTGAAAAATGTGTTTCACTAGTCATAAAGTATTTCACAAATAGTCAACATTGAACATTACTGTGAAAAGTCTCATAAGTTCATCTAAAACATTCACCATATACCTCCCGACCAAATACTTAATTCACTTTATCATATTCAGTTACAAAACAATACATCCAATCTGTTCATTTACACTAAATGCTTTTCTTGAAACAGATCCATCTTTCAATAACATACGATCATGTCAGCATAGTATGACTATTGAGTATTGAATACGACAACTTTAATATCTGTTTGACATAAAACACTTTCTTTTGCATAGAGTAGTGAGTAGGCGAATAAATGAGGAGATTTATCGTCTGCCTTATGTCTTCGGTCATATAGCCCTGTCGAAATCAGTCAATTGTTCAACATATGCGAAAGACATATCCAAATGTCTATCCGCAGTTTTCCAACGAAGATATCTACACATATCAGTTGCATTACTCATTATATCAGGTTAAACAGTGTTGGATAGATAAGTTTCATTGTTGTTCAGCATAGAAAACTGTAACAACACCATTACCATTTTATCACAACTTAAATCTTCTTTGAGATAGTAACAAACATGACGGTTGTTGAGATGGAGACACAGATACTTCATTTCACTTCAGTCAATTTCAGTGTTTCGCAGACCGAAAGACTTGATCACAGACTCGAGCCTTTTTCAGGATGGGTTTCCATTAAGACTTTAACACATGGGATACTACAATTGTGCTTCATATTGCGCAAACTCATCATTGACACTGAAATTTCAATAAACAGTGATTTAATAAAACGTTTTCCAGTTTTATTTCAAAATGTTTTCCTCATCACTTTAGTAACACTCCGATCAATTTATTTCACTCTTGAAACAACTGATTGATCTAGATTGTAGGAAAGATATATTAGATGATTATGCTAGATTACAGCAAATTCCTATGTTGACATTGTGATAATCAGGTACAAAGAGAAAGAATAATTTGGCTAACAGATGATTGATCATGTAAGTCAGTGTAAATCGGAATATGAATAGAAATTGTTACCTTTTTTTTCGCACCTAATTGAACTGCGAATTTCCGATAATAACTTTTCGCCATTTTCCCTAGGTATCTGAAAAGAAGTAATGAAACTCTTAGTCAAGGTCTATGAACAAACAACTAATCATGTAAGTGCTGAGTCGGCAATCGCATTACCTTATACAAAGACAACCAATCACAATTACAGTCAGTAAACTGATCTACTAAGTTCCATAGGACCTGTATTCCATCTAGTCTACAAAAATATTCTGACTCACAAGAATTCATTCATCTTATCAGCATTTCTAGTAATCCAATATCTATGATATGACTGTCCCGCTACAGTACTTTGACATACACTGCTTCTCTTCAATCGATGCAAAGACATAAGTATTTCTTCAGATATCAGATTTCTTCGTATTATTCAGTAATCTAAACAAGAGCTAAGGTAAGTTCTGTCACTAAGGTATTATTATCAATGTCATATAGTCTGTGTGCACACTACAAAATGTTGATTTCATTCAATCGTATCTTGTTGCATTCGACAGTAATGATATACACGAATTAGTAGAATAATCAGAAGTACTTGAAGTAAAACTATATTCCTATTCAATTGTACAACTTACGTTATCATAATAGAAAGATATCTTTCCATTCGAATATAACAGAGTAGTTATCTTGAAAGTAAGAACTGAGAACAAAAGATTATCGAAATTTAGAATTTGAGAGATTCATAATGATCCCATGGTTGTTAGTAGCCACACTGAATGTGCTTGCTAACATAGTGACCACATTTAGGCAAATATTCACCATGTTATCTCAAGTGTTTTTTTAAGTTGAATTCGTAATCAAAATATTCTAGTGAAAGTTGTGTAAATAAAACAACCATCCATCCTTCAAAATGAATGTCAGATAATTGGTATCGGAGGCTGTTATGCACCCTAGTTTTCATATTGAAACTATATATCACGTAGCTCCTAATAAGATCTGACAGTTGGGGATGTATACACTTTGTCGCAACATACTCTACATTTAGTGTTGAAACAATCAAACCTTAGTACACATGAGGTGAGCTGTGAAGCTTTTGTTTACGAAAGGAATCTGATGAATTAATTGTTTAGGCTACACATTAGTATATCAGTGTTTATTGAAGATGAAAAATGAATGGCTGCAGAATAATCGTGATAATTATTTCTTAATTTGAATGAATAATATTTAAAAATGATCATGTGGTGAGTAACACAGGTTTACTTTCTTTGAAATACAAACATCTGATCCATTTCTATCAAAGTCTCTTGACGAAAATGTATTTCTGCATTCGTTGACCTACAAGTGAAATGAAATTATGACTTCATCGATACACACTGGTCTACTTATCTCACATCAAATCTATTGTGTTCCTGCTTATGTCAACTGCTCTACTGGTCTCAAACGATTTGTTCAGACGATCAGTGGGTTCCACATTTGATTCTCCCTTGGTTTTTCACAATGGTTTCGTTTTTTTACTTCTGTCGATTTTTGAAAAGGATTCATTTACACAAACTGAATGGAAAAATGGCGAGTAATTATAATGAATGATGATGTCATTGTTGATTTCTTACATGTGATGAAACAATCAATTTACTGTTTGCTTACTTGAATTTTTTTGTAGTTTCTGCAAAGACCGTCTGTAAGCGAATAAGTTGTCTGAAACAGGGAAAGTGAAACAAGATAGTTCACTGAATTAATCAAAGTAAAAAAATTGTGTCTTTTTTAAAATATGTACAATGAATACTCGCTTCTTTCAATAAACACAAATTCGAACACAAAATGAGTTTGAAGACGAGATATCATCGTCCTTTCGAGTTTCAGGTGAAAGAGTCCTATTAAATGGAAATTTCAATGGTCCTTATTATTATCTCGACGATATTATGAATGTTGTAGTCCAATCAACTGAGAAGAATATTTCTTTTCTGAGACGTTGATTTTAAAAGCTTTTGCTTAACTAAGAGTCCGTTAATGTCTATTCAACTTAAAGTGCGTTAATTAATCTAATCAATCATGATGTACCAGCAGACTGTTCATAGTCGTTCCATGATTCGGTGTTTTGAGAAGGGCGTCAGTTCGAATTTTGTGATCTTACGAATACGATAATCAAGAAATTTTTATATCTTCAACGGTCCGCAGACAATGATCTGGGGACAATAAACTTTTAAGAACTAAGCAACTGACAGAAACAAATTGGAGGACATCAAATTTTATTTGGAAGTTCATGTGCTTCAATAATCCAAACTGATTCCTCGCACGACATCATTTGTTGTATCTGTGATTAGTTTGATTTATTGAATCTACCAAAAAGTGTCGTATTCATGAGATATCTGTTTTGTGGTACTTTAAAAGGACTGAAGAGTATGTAATTTTCACTTCAGCAATTACAACAACAGAATTATCATTTCTACCCTATCAATTTGGGTCTATTTTTAAATGATTCGGTGTTTCGTTTAACATTGTGACTCGAAAGTAATGAATACGCGTTGTGAATTTATTTTAGATTATTAAACCACACACAAACAA